AATATATTAGATAGACATTTGTCAAATAGACTTTACGTAGTCTGCTTTGAAGAGATTTTGAGAGTCTGAATGTGTATCACAGATGAACCTGAAATTCCAGATAAACATTATTGTATGGAGGCTCTGTAAGAGATGCTGACTTGATCATTTTAAATACCAAAATATTATTAGATATGTGAACTCCCTGAAAGAGATGTTAAAGGTATACTACGTCTTAGAATAAACATGAAATTTAAAAAATTTAAACTTGGCCAATAATAGCACATATTCATCAGTAGATATACCTGGTGTCATAAATAACATATCATGATCCTTACATAATCCGATAAATCCACAAAACTTCATACAAATTCAATTAACTAATGAAAAACGCTTAATGTTATGATTAAGCGTTTTTCAATAATTACTTAGTTTTATGAATTTTCCAATTTTCCAGATTTTACAGGGATTCTGTTGTAACTTTATGACACCAGGTAAGTTCACTGATGAATACATACTCATATTGACCATTCTTGAGAATCAAATTTTATGTTCATTCTAAGACGTAGTATCACTTTAAGTTGACAATTCTAAAATACCAAACGAAAAAATATGATTTCTATGTGAACTCCCTAAAATACATGCTTAATTGACAATCCTAAATTAAAAAAAAAAAATATGGGCTATGAACGTTCTGAGATGCTGAGTGGGAAAGTCAAAACAGCGAAATGAACAGTTTTTGCTGTGTGAACTCTCTGAAAGAGATGCTGAGTTTACAAACCTAATATTCTAAATAAACATTATTAGCTTCGTAGACTCACATAAATTGATGCTGAGTTGACAATCTAAAATACCAACTTTTGTGTACTCTTGATCTCTGGCAACCCGAGATAAAAAAAATATGTTTGTTAACAGCGATAGTTACTTTATTCATCTGGAATTTAAACCACCATCTTATTTTGATTCTTGATAAAGCGCTCAATTCTGATACATGTATAATAAAAGTATTATTTTATCAGCTAGACAGATTCCTGAGAGTAATTTCCAGGAACAATTCTTGTGGTTTACGAATGGTCTGATTTTATACGCGATATATCCAGTATTTGATTTGATGTTAAAAAATATTGAATATATTTATTTTGTCTGTCACTGCCAGCCTGCAACTCTAACACCATTGTGTTTAAATAGACCAAAATCGATAGAAAATCTCGGGTGTATTGAAAGTTTATAATGAAGCCAATTACCCTAACCTTTGTAAAAATCTGACTTGCCTGGAAGTTGTAAAAGTAGGCAGACAGTACCAGCCGGAGGGATTTGAAGACTAATGAAGGACTTGTTTACAAATTTAAACAGTCGCCAATCGCCATATTATACTATTTCGAACATCACAGGAAAAAAACAGACGCAGAGCAAATCACATTCACGATAAATACCGACTGTAACTGACAAAATGCAGATAATACAACATGTATAATCATTTATAAACCGACATACACTCATAGTTCATATGTACCCGTCAAAATGGACATACTCCCCGAGTAGGTAATGTTCGTAGTTCCATAAATAGTTAGTAGTACAGCTGTAGTTGGACCACACTCTATAATGACACCTCGAGTTAGGTGATGTCTCATGTTTCCCTAAACAGAAATAATACATACTCTCTAGAATATAACCGAGTTAGGTGATGTCTGGTGTTTCTATAAACATACAATAATACAACAGTGGACCACTCTCTAGAATATATGCCAGAGTTAGGTGATGTCTGGTGTTTCTATAAACATACAATGATACAACAGTGGACCACTCTCTAGAATATATCCCGGAGTTAGGTGATGTCTGGTGTTTCTATAAACATACAATAGTACAACAGTGGACCACTCTCTAGAATATAACCCAGACTTAGGTGATGTCTGGTGTTTCTATAAACAGACAATAGTACAACAGTGGACCACCCTCTAGAATATAACCCAGAGTTAGGTTTTATCTGGTGTTTCTATAAACATACAATAGAACAACAGTGGACCACCCTCTAGAATATAACCCAGAGTTAGGTTTTATCTGGTGTTTCTATAAACAGACAATAGTACAACAGTGGACCACCCTCTAGAATATAACCCAGAGTTAGGTTTTATCTGGTGTTTCTATAAACAGACAATAATACAACAGTGGACCACCCTCTAGAATATAACCCAGAGTTAGGTTTTATCTGGTGTTTCTATAAACAGACAATAATACAACAGTGGACCACCCTCTAGAATATAACCCAGAGTTAGGTGATGTCTGATGTTTCTATAAACAGACAATTGTACAATAGTGGATATGACCTAGAGTTAGGTGATGCCTGGTGTTTTATAAACAGACAATAGTACAACAATGGACCACTCTCTAGAATATAACCCAGAGTTAGGTGATGCCCGATGTTTCTATAAACAGACAATAATACAACAATGGACTACCCTCTAGAATATAACCCAGAGTTAGGTGATATCTGATGTTTCTATAAACATACCATAGTACAACAGTGAACCACGATCTAGAATATAACCCGGAGTTAGGTGATGTCTGGTGTTTCTATAAACAGACAATAGTACAACAGTGGATCACCCTCTAGAATATAACCCAGAGTTAGGTGATGTCTGTTGTTTCTATAAACAGACAATAGTACAACAGTGCACCACCCTCTAGAATATAACCCAGAGTTAGGTGATGTCTGGTGTTTCTATAAACAGACAATAGTACAACAATGGACCACTCTCTAGAATCTAACCCCGAGTTAGGTGATGTCTGGTGTTTCCATAAACAGACAATAGTACAACAATGGACCACTCTCTAGAATATAACCCAGAGTTAGGTGATGTCTGGTGTTTCCATAAACAGACAATAGTACAACAATGGACCACTCTCTAGAATATAACCCCGAGTTAGGTGATGTCTGGTGTTTCCATAAACAGACAATAGTACAACAATGGACCACTCTCTAGAATATAACCTAAAGTTTTGTGATGTCTAGTATTTCTATAAACAGATAATAGTACAACAGTGATGTCAGGCGTTAGTAGAATACCTTCTAAAATATATCCCTGTACAGAATATAAGCCAGAATTATTGTCTGTGTGTATTTCTATAAGTTGATATCAGTCTCTGGGGCAAAACTCTTAAATCCAAGAATTTCAATAATTAAAAGATGTAAATGCAATTTTACGGAAGTAGAATTCATGACCACGTCGTTATAGACTTTCTCTTTATTATCGCCAATCTACAATAAGTGAAACGAGGTTTATAGTATTCCCTAGACATCATTGGCATCGACTAGAAACCGTCGTGCGGTCAACATGACACCTTTCAATTCTAACCATTATTGAACAAATTTCATACTCCATAATTCAGCTCGGCGATATGAACGAACTGTAATTTAACCACGTAGTTTTATGGTCAATGAAACTCAAATTTCATTTTCTCTGCTTATTCATATGGCTGATTTCATTTTCTGCTTGTATCTGATATTGAATGGCACTTCGACATTCTGAATTGATGAGTTTCTTAGGACTAGGTTGGAGCTCCAGTTATATAAAGTACTGTGGCGGATGTCGTTTGAGAACATACCCATGCCCATATAACCTGATACCATTCAGGGATTGAGTTTTTCAACTAGGTAGCCAGATCAGTAACTCAACTACCATAGATACTAGTTGAACGTGTACAGGCCCCTATCCCTATAAGGGCCTCCACCTCCAGGAAAAAATTCGGGAGAGCATTATGGTAAGAAACGTTTCCTAGGGAGGGACAGGTTCCTTCAGCAAAGGGCGATATTCTTCACGTAGAATATGGATTATATACTACCAGTGCTTAAGAATTATGGAGAGGGCGAGTTTGGGAGGGTGAGCTCACCCACTTAAGTTCACGGGCATCCATTCATCTAGTTGAGCCTCTGAGCCACATTAACTCGTGGCCATATAACTAATAAATTTTATTTGGTATATTAATTTCCTGAGTTTTACCAGATCGGTCCTCCGAGATTATTTTACATGGAATCTCTTCCCAATTTCAATTTCATGTTAGATGAAATAAAGTGAGATATTTAATATTTGATTTGAATTATTAATGGGAATGATAAAAACTTAAAACCTTTCTGAGTGTGAATGCTATAAAACTAATCTCCATTTAAAGGAAATGTCCCATGCAGATCTTGCAATCAAATTAAAACATAAGGAGCATAGAAATGAAATGAAATAAATGGAGTTTTACATCCTACTTTTCTGCACCATGTGGGCTAATGAAGACGGGATAAATAGAATAGAGAAATAAGACAAAGTCAATTAAAAGTTAGGTAATCTGGTAAAATGAAAAATCAACGACAGTGAAGTAACCTAGCAGGTTAATTTGAAGAAATCTAATGAAACTACGTATTATTCTTACATGGAAATAACACACACGAATGTAGTTCACAGCCATTTTCAATCACTACCTCGACTCGATAATTCGAATTTTAATAACGCTTTAATATTTTAAAAACCTTCAAATCATATTTAAAGCCATTTCTAAACCTTGAAATGTGATATGATGTATTAGTTGAAATGGTATAACTTTCGATTTAATTAGTCGAGGTAGTGATTCAAAATGGCTGTGAACTACAAACGTCGTTATACAAAGGACAATTGAGGGGTCGGTGGTTGTGGCAACAGTATAACATCACAGCGTTGTAACTTCTAACCGACTGTGCAATCGAATCTCACATTATGGTTTCAAAACGTATTCTGGAGAAAGTTTTTGATGCCCTCGAACCAATGATAAAGGTTTGATTAACTAACTAAAGAACAAATGTTGCGTCGAATGATAGCGGATAGTTCTATTTTGCAAACACTATGATATATAGATATACTACTTCTGAATTTTGATATCCATATATCTTAGTGTTTTACTCTAACCTTTCTACTTATATATCTTACAATCATTAGTGTCATTTTTCTCATTTCTTATTTTCAGTTTTTATGAATGAGAGGTGTCCTTATGGTACAATCAAGATGGCGGACCTTGGAATATATTCAGGCCGTCTGCAACTGACCAATGAGCCGCTGTATTCAGTTATTATGGATTGTAGATTAGTTATAGTGGCGCCCTCTGGTTGGAAGTTATCTATACAGTTTGAGGAGATGGACCTAGAGGGCAGTAGCACGTATTGTCATGGTGATTTTATACAGTTATTAGACGGCACCTCACATCACGCTCTTTCAATTCATGGTACGATAACTTTTACATTTTCAATAATTTTACCCTGTCTTAGTTTCAAGATAAGTTACAACGAATTTTGTATTTAAGGTGTTTTGAAAATACCAATCATTGCTAAACAATGGAAGGTGAACAAAATACCTTTCTTTTACAAGGGATCGGCAAAGCTTTCTGATACAGGGAAACAGAGCATTTGATTGGTTCAATATTTTAATAACCTTGAACTCATAGTGTGCACTACTTCATGGAGTGCACATATGGTTACCCACAGGAAACGTAACAAAAACAGGTGATACATGATATGTAATATTTATTCTTCATGTCTATTGTAGGTATGCCTTCAAACGATCGCCTATGTGGTAAAGTAAAACCTAAAAAGGATCTGACGTCACGGAGTAATGTGGTAACTGTCCGATTCTACAGCCATATGTCTGTGCAAGATACGGGCTTTACCTTTCTCTTCTCGGCATTCCATACAGGTAAAGTCAAGCTTCAATTTCCTGACACGCTTACCCAATATCCCCGTCACATCGGACTGCGACTATTTGAGATCTTACGACTACTGGCAATTACTAGGTCGTGGTAATCTGGAGGAAAAGTAGAGAACAAGACGAGAAAACATATACAAACTTAAAAGCAGTCGACCTCATACTGCGATTTATAAATACGACCATTGTGTTCCAATGTCCAAAATAAACGCCATGGCCCGGCGAATAGTGGCGACAATGGCGACAATTGTACGATGTCTGACTTGTCCTTAACACTTTTGGCGACATTAATACGATCTTCTGTCGCCTTTCCGATGTGGCGGGTCTATTGGGGGCTTTAAAGACAAATAATCGTTGCACATTCGGAGTATCCTCAGTCCATTTATGGCAATGACGTATTGTGGGTAGCGAAACCTTTCAAGAGTCATTTCTCTACTCAGAATTGTCGACCTTGTTTTATTCGCGACGGCTTGAAATCTTTTACTGAAAATCTAACAGGTTTGGTTAAGAAGCTTCGTTGTTATTCTTGCAATATACGAATGTTTCTGTCTGTAAGTGTTAAATAAAAGGAACTAGTAGCTAAAGAGACCTGTCTGACTTTCTTTTCATTTCCGGTTTGTTATAATGGCGCCGAGATTAGGGAAGTTGACAACCAGATGCGTCCACATTATTTTCGAGATGTGAACAAGTTTAGACAAGTCAGGCGATGTTGTCTGTTTCTTGAAAGCTTTTACTCTATCGATCTGATTGAAACTTGATTTAAATCAAATAAAATGGTGTTTTATGTCCTACTTTTATGCTCTATGTTGATTAATGAAGACGGAAACATAACGCAGTGTGCAATGAAGTGAACTACCCGAATTACCTGATCGATTGCGATTGATCTTAAACGTGGACAGCCTGTGACACACAGGAACTCGATTATTTGTCTTATTCGGTCGACGAGACCCTATATCATATAAAAAAAACAGGATATAATAGTCTAATTGTTCTCTATATGTTATCGTCTGTGATATGGACTGCCTGCATCGTCCTGATTTATTTCCAATTTCCGAGCAGTCTAGTAAGAAATAGTTAAAATACTTAATTATAGGTCTGAAGATGTTAGTTTACTCCCCACCTTTCTGAACATAGACTGCCTGTAGACTGTCTCTATATACAGAATGTCTTTGTTGTCAACATGTACTGTCAAAAGAAAGAACAATCCAGCCTAAAAAAACTGTTGGGTTGTGCAGAATCTCAGATGTAGGAATTCGCAAAGTATAATGCATATGATTGCTCCTAACGGTAATTGCAAGCGGCTTCCAGGTCACCGTAAACATTTTGGCGTGGACAGCACGTAACGCATTAAGACTTGCATTGGCTAACCTATCAAAGCATCTGAACCGGTATGGCGGGATCGGTATCTCCCTTCACATTTAAATGAGATTCACTAAGTTTCAGACTTCAGCTGCGTTTTTCACTTCATGGCTTTCTTCAAAAAGGTCCGTGGATACAGAGGGATTTTGGGTTAAAAAAAAAAACGTCCAGTTATAATCGTACTATATAATCATAGGATGTGATGATTGACCTGTCGTGCGAAATTGAAGTATGCCTTCGAAGACCCCTTTCTACTAACAAGGTTCAGTTTCTGTTTTGATATTTATTTATATTCTTAAATCGCTTTTCAATTGATGTATTGAGCGCTATTTTAGCAGTAAAATACTTGTTGTTGTATAATAATTATATTTTGTTTTCTCTATGACAGGTACTTGTGAACGAGGTGATTTTAAATGTGAAAATGGCCGCTGTATCAGCTCCATGTTAAATTGTGATGAAGACAATAATTGCGGGGACGAGTCTGATATCTGTGGACTGACCCCAGCAGGCACGGCCGGGCTGGTTTTATTATGTATAGCTATCTTTCTATTCCTCATATTCTCCGGACTGTGGTGTACTTATACTGAGCCGGGGAAAGAAGACCCCAAAAAACAGCCTCTAACTAAACCAAATAAAGTGAGTATTTATCAACTAGATGGTTAAAGTGATACCTCAAGAATAGTAAATATGAGTATATATTCATCAGTTAACGTACCTGGTGTCATAAAGTTACTACAGAATCCCTGTAAAATCTAGAAAATTGGAAAATTCATAAAATTATGTAACTATTAAGCGTTTTTCAATACTTAATTGCATTTATATTAAGTTTTTTGGATTAGGAATCATTTAAAGGGACATTCTGCTTTTTGTAGGTTGAAATTTTCTTTTGCTCAAAATTTGTGAAAACTATACGCCAAAATCTTTAGAAATGTAAGAGATGGGTTTCCTTATTTACAGTGCCAAATTAAGCTATTATAATTAACTATTTAATTAATTTCTAATTAATTACATTGTGTTCTCAATCGTATCACTATTTTCTTATATTGCATATAATTAAGAGTTTTAACCAATTATAAATGTCCATGTATGTACAGTCTGGATAAACAAAAGAAGATTTTTTTACCTTTCTTGATTGGTCACTCATTGGAATTCTGCTGGTAATTCTCTTCTAATTTGGCTAATTATGAATTAATTATGGACATGAGAGACAATTTTCCAAGTCATGAGAACACGTCTAATTTCCATTCATATAAGTATTAGCATTTTCATTTTCATAAATGAAAATAAGGGAACCAATCCTTAACTTATCTGAAAGTTTGAACTCAAAATGGTCACCCTGCTAAAACACTCTGTGACTGAGTTTGTCAACATGGAAAACCTTTTGTCAAGTTTGTCAAATATCAAACCGGCATTCCTTTTAGAGAGTCAACATGCCTATTTTTTTTTTCATTTCCATTTAAACGTTTGACCAAAGAAAAGGAACTCACTTGCCTTGAAATCGGCAGAGAGAAATTCTACAAAAATGTACTCATAATTGTCGACTTGATTCTATTTGACAAACGTCTTTCACCTCTTTAAATGAATTTCACCATTTTGATAGAAATGTTTCAATCAATAGACGTTGCTATCAGCCACAATAAGATGTTTGACACCTCCAGTTGAGATGAACTCTTATTTTATAAACGTTCTGTCATGGCGAGAAGATCGTTCTCACTTCACCAGCGAGTCAGAACTTGAGACTAACTGGGGCAATGATTATTAGAAACGGTGGCGATTAGGGACGAGTTGCTGTTTGCTGATGGCAGGTCAAAATATATAGGTTTGACAGTAAGAACGAAGATACACGTTCGAGCTTTGATAAAACTGTATTTAAAACAATTGTCTCTACGCCATTCCATTTTAAAAAGTGAATTTACAGAAGCTATCTCCGATTAATAAACATTTTCCTATATTTTCCTAAATATTAGTTGTGAATTATTTATTTTTGTGGACACGCTCTCCTTATAAAATATCATTATACATGTACATCTAAAACATGTATCTCGGCGGAAAATAACGAGGTGCATTAAGTAATTTCGATCAAAATTTGTCTTCACTTCTGACAATATTCAAAATAAAGTCTATACCTTGTTGAACCAAAGAAAATTATTTATAAAACAATCCAATCTTGATTCAGAACCCTGTTTAGCTCTATAACATTAATTTTGAACGCTGTTTGATTCCTGCTTAGCCCAACAAAATTATTCTTAACCCTGTAAGCCTCGTATTAACCCTGTTTAACCGATGAAATCGATTCTGAACTCTTTTTAGTCCAATGAAATTTTTCTTAACCTTTTTGTGTTCTCATCTTGTGTTCTTTTTTCAGAGATCCTCACTCGGGACTAACACAAGTGTTCTTACAACAGAAAGCCGACTAACACACAGTCCGTATTTAAAACGGACACCGGATACAAGTGTTACTCGGAGTACTCCATCTCCTAACGAAAACCTTCGAGCTCCATTAGTAAAACATGATATCAACGGTTTGTGATGATCTTTCAGACTAGCATGTGATTTTTACAACGATGTGGTTCGTTATTACGAATTCAACGAATTTGGTAATACGTTTTGTGGGATTACTGATTTTGTGTGGTGAACGGAGAATGGCAACAATTCAATATTGCAATATTATGAAAGCATATCAGTACAGTATTTGAAAACAATGTTATGGAAATTATGCGATGTAATGAAGGATGTGGAAAAAGCAGAGCTGAACTGTAGTGGATTAGTGTGATTTGTCCGGCCAACAGTACATGTAGTTGTAGAGTAACGAACGGACATGTAAGGTATGGAAACAGCAGATGATACTTGTTTTTTTTTTCTGGATTATTGCGTTTCTTGTACGATAATAGCAACCACACATACAGGCTCAGTATTATCATCAGAAAGATATTGGTTGACATAAATGCACCGATATAAATATTATTATTACGGCCTCTACGTATGCCAGATATTCCCAACCACTACGATGGCCAATGTTTTTTTACTTGATCCTGACAGTGGTTAAGGCACAGCTTTGTTATTTTTGGTTTATTACAAAAGCATGGGCGCAGGCCGTAGAATCATAAGTGAAATGTGTTCAAGAAGGAAGGATCGTTTAGATCAAAGGGTGTGTTATGACGGGACGTTCTCACATCGACAAACGTATTGTTAATTGTCTATGATAACTAACGGAGCATCATTCAAGATCTGGTATATTTGACCACAATGGCAATAACGAATGAGTGAAAGATGGCATGCCCGCTACGCCGACGTACCAACAGGCATTTTAACAGCAGAACATTCATCTACAGGGCAAAATAGCGCGTCGAGTGAATTGGCTGATTTATTCATTTTAATTTTTGGTATTGTGACTTCCATTTTCTTTACACAGTGCCTGAGGATATTTTTGCCTTACGATTCAGTATATATGCAGTAGTTTGTCTCAGCGCTCAGCCAGTCCACCGGCATTTCAAACACCGGCATTGCATCCCCTTGGCTAACCCTACCTAACCCTAACCCTAACCCTAGGTATTGCATCCCACCGGTATTTTTCAAGGGTTAGGGCTAACCCTACCTTACCCTAACCCTAGGTATTGCACCCCACCGGTATTTTTTAGGGGTTAGGGCTAACCCTACTTAACCCTAACCCTAGTTATTGCATTCCACCGGTATCGTATGTAACCTGCATTGCATCCCAGAATTGTGGGGATTATTCTGCTATAAATGTTATAAGGGCAAACAAAATAGATTTCATCTCGTTATACACAATTCATTCCTCTCCCTTTTCTTCCACAAAACATTCCAAACGTTTTATGTTTTTTTTTTCGTTTTCAATTTTAACTTTTATTCACTCTTTGATATTTTTATATGTTATTCTAATCTTTATAATCGACACACTGTCTTGTTTTTTTATCATCAGTGTTTCGGTATCGCGAAGTAAATATATTAGTGCTCACTCGTGTCCTATTCAAGGGTTATTTTGCAGGTGCACGAATGATCTTGGTCGACGAAATGTCTCGCCTGCAAGTGTCTTGTCAAGAGTTTCACCGACCAGCTGTGGACACACAAGGAGACAAAAAATCTCCAGTCGGTCGTTTTCCACTATGTCGATAAGCAAGCTCGGATCATGCAATTAAAAGGAAATTGAATCTGATTAGACGATAAAACAATCGGCGACAAATATCAAACTAGTTTGATATTATAAATCCTGGCAACGCGATGATCTTGTCGTGGAAGCGTGGGCGCACGTGAGATATTACCCAAGATTTGAGTCGGCGACAAGATTCAGCGACGAAGACTGTTCGTGTGCCCACAGCATTAAATGTTGCCGATTCCCGAACCCTTTTTAAATCAAGAATGGTGTTGGCTTTTTTATATGACCACTTTTAAATATATTATTATAAGCATGGTTTCACTTAAACCGGAAGTGCTGAAATAGTTCGGCTAAACGGGCTACATGTTTTCTTTGTGCACCTTTTCTATCTTCTATTTATATTTGTTTATTTATGGGAATGAGCTCTGGTATATTTTCCCAATCTTTACTTGTAAACTTATATCGAGGCTTTCAATTGTTCACATTCATTAATGTTTATTTCCAATTTCTATACTACACTTTGTATGTATTCAAGTTACTGTCGTTTCTTTTAATCTGACAACATTATAATGAATGAAAGGTTCACCTTTTGAAAAACCATTCACCCAATCAAACATTCTGTTTAGAAAGACGTAGTTTACAAAATGTCAGGACTGCTTTAAGTTCTTTTCAGAAAAGTTTCATAAAACAGCTTCAGTTTTCGGACCTGTCACATATCTTTGCCATGTTTCACTTTATAAACATTATGTAGTAAATACTCATGATATCAGGTTCTTTGCAAAACTGTTAATCAATATGCTTCCTCATAGACGTTTTTGCGTTTTGTTTTGTAATTATTAACACAAGCTCGAAATATATATGCAAACTAGCAAACCCTTTCATATGAATCATGTCTTTTCTTTTCGAAGCTATTTGGATAATGCGAACCACGATTCCATACATTTATTGATAAGGGTGTGGTTGCAACGACGATGTCAATTAATATGACAAAAGTCGTTCAGTAAAAAAACGACAGATTAATTATATTCCTGCCTTGAACGCTGATGACTTGTTCCTTTCTCAACATATCAAATTGAATAACGGACCACAATTATATGATATACTACTCCTGAGTTTAACATATCATAATTATAAAACTTAGTGCTTTTATTCTGACAACGATAACTGATCTAACCATGCAAGTTGTTACAATTATTACTACTGAATCCTGCATTGTGAACCGACTTCACAATAATATATGCCATTCTTCCAATTCTAACAGCTTTTACAGTGTTAAATTGTCGTCTGCTGGGTCAATAGATTTTTAGGTCGTGCCTAGTGTTCAATTCGGTTGTTCGGAAACATGGTGGCGATTCCATCCGAGATAAAAATGCTTTCTTGATTCCACGACATGTGCTTTCGACCATCAATCCCTTCTGCTAATTAGACTTCTTCTAGTCCCAACTGTTTCACATAGGGCTATATTTAAAGCAGTTCAAAACTATTTTTATTTCTGTTTATGTATTTTATAACAGGGACGCTTATAATCACTATTCCAGTCGACGTCTGCGGGCCTGCTAGACATCACTAACGCAGAAACCATTCGTCTTGAATTGTCTCTGACAACAAGTTGGAAAAAAACAAACAGGAACCACAGACGTCGAACGCTTAAAAAGGTTTGATGCGACTTAAAGCTAAACGTGTTCCCGATACACAAAGACTAAAAAGAATCTTTTAAATTTCAAGCACTTAAATTCGAACCCTATAGCACTCAATGTAACTGACAGAATGGTTATAATGTGTGTATGTTAGCAATATCACCTATTTATATTTTATCACTATTTTATTGTTATTCTTTCATTCACTTTGTTATCCCCTTTGCAATTTTTTATCAATTGAAAATATTACAATGATACTCACTTACTCTTGTTTTTATTTGTCCAGTGAATGGACATTTATTTTCGGCATTTTTGTCTGTCCATCAATTCATATTACATCGTAAACGCTCTAGATTCTATAGATTTTTTTCAGATTTTGATAAAACATGATATAACCCATCTCAACAATGTCAAGTTATTACGAACTGTGTCTTATACCTTGACTGCAATAGCCACAATTCTTGTATCACTCAAGTTTGTAAATACAACCAATAGAGTCAATAGGAACCCTCGATGGAAAAACCAAACGATTTTGTTAAAAAATGGAATGAATGCATTTAATCTAAATCTTCATTTGGTTTTGACTATAAAGATTGTATTTGACTAGAGGTCATCTTATTGCTGTCAATGCGAATTTCGGATACAAAATCCTCATCAGGACAGCCCCGTTGAGAAAATTGGGTGCAATATTGGACCTGGCTAGGGAGAATGATCAATGTAGGTGAATTTATTGGGGTAAAATAAAATAAATGGCGTTATCTGTTAATGAAGACACTTGACGCCATGCAGTATACAACGAGGGAAATTTTACCAGAACAGCGGCATTTGCCTACTCTTCTTCCGATATTTAACTGTCGAGAGATCTATAACGTACACAGTCTGTAGCCCATGGTCTTAGTGGGTTAAAGGAAAATATAAGATTTGTACTAAGATTGGAATCGGACGTTGTTTTTATCAGATTCTACCGAGATTGAATCTGAAGATACAAATATCTAAACAAGAATTCGGATATTGAAAATCAATAAAATTTACCAGAGTAATTAAAATTTAAAATTGTTTTGTTACGCTAACTTGATTTTGCCGTAAAATCAATATATTTAACCATCGTCACGTGATCTTTCATCCAGGAATTTGCCATTAAAAAATTCTTATCTCTGATGGCCTAATTAGATTATCGAATCAAATTGTACTCAAATGTTTCTTAATGTTAGATTTCACATCACGTTCTGTCAAATCGTGTTAAGTTGGTGAAATGATCGGTCGCGTGTAATCTAATTCTTGGAAGGTAAAGTATTGTGCACTTTTATCTGTTGTAGTCGAGAGTTCAAGCCAGATTAGCATTAGACGTGAATTTCAGATTTTGGAGATGATGACAAAGAGATATGGGACATGTCCACGGGAACATTTTGGTATCATAATTTACGCCGACGACAGTCGACAAGGAATTGTTCGAGACGTGTGCTCACTGCCTAGTAATGAAGTTAAAGATCCTCATTGCACAGATTATTATTACCCTATAGAGGGCCAATTAGGTAACGAAAGACCCGCTGTATCACTTTTCAAAGGGACGATCAGATTTTCAGTTCTTTTGGAAAAGATACCGTATAAAAGGAAGAGATGATACAGGCCCGTAAGTTGCCAAGGTGTCGATAGGTGAAGGGGAGACCATCATACCACCACATAGCCTGACCCTGTTTAATGCGATTATAAGAGGATGTTTGAACTTCAGAGGTGGGGCGAAATAGGCCCTTTCGCAACGGACCTCGGTCGCTAATACCATTCTGTCCTATAGATATTAACAATAACGTAGATGTAATATTTAAAGCTGTATTTTAAGCAAATTTCAAAATTCAAAATCTAAGCCAAGTTTTTTGAATGTTTTTAAGTTATTTATTCCAGTCTGTTATTTTAAAACACAGGTACATGCGACACTGACTGGCTCCCAAACCTTTTTATACTGCATGACCAAATCATTGGTGTCTATATTCAGCTTACATTCAGTCTTCCTCAATACCCTACTATAGCTGATAATCTTCTCACAATTAAATTTCATACCGTTACCATACCTACAACACAAATATTACAATTTAACATCTAACATTTAAATAACTCCACCAATCTACTACGGTGGTTCATATACGACATCATTTATTTTTCAATTGTGATATAAAAAACTGAAATTTGAATTAAAAACTTGTATTTTCATCAGAGTGAAAATTTAAGTTTTTAATTAAATATTATTGAATTATCACCTGGGTGATTGTTAATTTTCATCAGGGTGAAAATTCAAGTTTTTAATTAAATATTATTGAATTATCAACTAGGTGATTATTAATTTTCATCCAGGTGAAAATACAAGGTTTTAATTTAAGATTATTTTTTATAATTATATTCCAGTTTTTTAATTCAAAATTGAAAAAAATAAATGATGTCGTATACGAACCACCGTGGTCAATTCAGTTTTAGATGAATTCGTGTAACTAATACCCTGATTTTGGAAGATAACTGTATTCAATTTACATTAACAGTATATTCTAAGGAATCCCCACTACGGGATACAGCCAACTGAACCTATAGGAGATGTCAGGTATACTAAGGCTAGAACACCTCTTAAAGGGAAATTCCGCTTTTTTTTTGTAAAAAAAAATGATTAATCAAAAAGGCCGTAAATTATAAAAAAAATATGACAATATTTAAGAATCATTGAACAAAAGTATACGTAGCCTACCTTTTAATTATGATACTGATTTTAGAAAAAACCTTTTTTGAATCCTAACAAAAGCTTTACATACCTTTTGAACGAACGAGAAGATTTACAATGTTTACAAGCACATTCTGCCTGTATAATAGTGGAAGGAACCCGTTCTGGATCGTACTGGACCACGTGGTATGATGGACAGATATTGGCTGTCATCTTCTTACACGACGTTTCTCCTCGGAACAGGACGTTAACAGAACGGTTACTGGGAAGATGGGTGGTGCTCAGTTTTCTGAAATGTGGTAACATCATGAAGCTTGGTGGCAGGGTCTCAGGATCCGGGGATTTCAGGATTCTCAACAGTTCGTTGGGATCTGGCTCTCGACATCGGCCTGTCTGGAACTGACTGGTGGAGTTGGTAATTAATAACGATACGGCGATTAACGCAATGAGAGCTGAAATGAGACATAAATAATGGTGATATTGTTATTGTAATCTATAACCCGTTTTGTTTTTAACAATGAGGAATTGTGGGATAGTGTAACTCACAATAGAGCAATGTGACTGCGACTTTGATTAAGAATACATGATCATTCATTAAAAACACCAATTAATCAAATAATCTGCTTAATTTGACACTAAAAAATAAGAAAAACCATCTTTAACCAATCAAAAACACTGATAAAATGAGCAGACAAGTCCATATTTAACAGTGAATATTCCAGATATTTTCTTTTTTTTTTTTGAATAACTTTGATTGGTTGGAATATTAAATGACCATCAGATCATGGATGGTCAGTTGAGTAACCTGCATGAAAATTGTGAAAAGAAGCGTCTGGTATCGCGTTTTAATCAGTCTGTCACAGGTTTGTAAGAATTATAAAGACATTAACTTCTATCACTTGCATCATTTTTAAATAAATTACAGTACTTCTCCAAATTTATGGATCAATTTTTGGCGAATCACCAATTAATAATACCGTTATTAATCTTCAAAGGGTTTGTAAACAGGTTTCCTAAATTTTTATCCGGACAATGATATCATCAATGTTCACCGTTCCATTTTTCAATCAGACGTCTGTGATTCCTAAAATTCCACTAAAACTAAGTGTTTTATGACTTCACCCCGCAAAATTTGCTTGTAGACATAAGACCTTTGCGAGGGTGACGTTATATAAAACGCTTAGTTTTAGTGGAATTGCAGAAATCACGGACGTCTGATTGAAAATTGGAAAGGCGCAAATTGATGCTACACAGACAAAAAAAACCTCTCTACAATTCTTTTAATACAAAAAAAAAACTAAACTCAAGGTACCCTACCTAAATACTTTAAGAACATCTTGTCGACAGTAACTTTCACTAATAAGGATAAAATAGTATATTTTTCAGGTATTTATGTGTTTTAACTCTTCCTCAAATAAAACCTAACTGAATAACCCGGACTAGCAAATGACAGGCAGTAAAAAAAGAAGGGGCAATAAACTCGAGGGTTGACGAAATCATCCATTCATATTAAACTATAAAATATGTTTAAATCACGATATCAGTGAAACTAACCTCAATATTTCCTGGGTATGATATTAGTAAACTGATATTTTATTCAGCGATTGGAAGTAAGATGGAAATATATAAACTATGGATATTGTAGCTGCGCTTCCATGGAAAGCCCCATATGTAAATAAAAGGTATTCCATTCATTGCGACACGGACGTGAATCGGGCAATGATAACGAATTTTCTTCGCAAGTTTGTCAGTAAATATAATTTAGCTGTTTATTTATAATTAGTTTCTTAGTCCAAAAATGACTTTTAGTTAATAAAAAGTAAAATTTGTTACTAGAGAGAGCAATTATCTTGTGCCTTTTTTTCATTGAAGAAGATATAATATACTCTGCAGGACACTTCGACAGCTATAGACATATTCGGCAGTTCTAATGACAGTAAAACTTCTAAAAATTGTGTAATTCAATTATCGCATATCGTGAATATGCCATATTCTGATTTATATATTATAAGAATACGTATTGGGGGTGGTTGTTGTCATCCATCCATCCAATATTGCTTCTGGCCTCCATCTAAAATTCGTTGTAATTATGTACAAGATAAAACACGGTTTTTATGATATTTAAAATCCTGTATCCCGAAGAATTTTCCGTGGGAATGGATTTTAAATGTCATAAACCCGAGATAAGGTGTGTCATTTAACTTATTTCCAGCAAGGACTCATTTGATGGATTTTTATTGTTTGGAAAAAATAATGAATAATAATGAAATAAGAGGCGCAACTCGTGTCTTCAGACTCGATCAGTTCAACTACCAGTGCGTAAGAGTTATTATTTGTAATACTTTGAAGTCTCTTCAAACAGAGGGCGGATTGCCTCCATCGTCCACGGCAAAAGAAAATCTCACCAGAACAATATATCTAGCAAAGAGCCAACATGAGGGTGTGTGATAGAGCTATAAAGGAACATAGTTAATTAATGGATGATTAAAAACATAAGAAATATTATATATATATACAATATCTCTTATTAGTATATTTATTAACAAAATTCATATAGATACATTTATTATGATTATGTTATTTATAAATAATAAGGCTTTTAAACACAAATTATCAGATCAGATCATTTTAATATAAAAAAAAACAAGGTCATGCAACGTATAATATATGGAAAAAAATTGTTTTTAGAGCATGATAGCTTTAATTTGATAAGATATTAGAAATATTCATGTATACTACTTTCAAAATTAAAATATATTAATTATGTCCATCAACAAAAGTAATTGTTTTTATTTAGTTCAGTTGTACGAATTTTTTAGCAATAGAGCCCATTACTCACTGTCTACTCACTGTTAAATACAAATACATAGAATTAAAGACAGTCACCCACAAATGTTAATTCATTATATAATATCATAATATTGTAAGAAAATTCAACTTAAAAAATATACAAACAATTTGAGGTATTTGAGGTTGAATATTCTCGTCATTTGATTGGTTGAGGCTCATTTCTCAACCAATGAGAATCACCAATACTGAATCTTGTTAGAGAGTAATTCTGTAGAGGTCAAGAGCTGTCATGCACAATATGCAATATCATCAGAAATTGGTCAGATTAATTAGAAATGGCTCTATTGCTGACAAGCTAATGATTCCAGTAATGATATTAGGTTATATTCAGGCATGATTCAAAACATTAACTCAAGAAGTCGACTTTAGTTGAAGGTAGTTTAAGTAGTATATGAATAGTTGAATACAATATAAGACAAGCCTGTATAGTTTTTATTGGTATATATTCTACCAAGAAGGAAGGTCGTGTATATGTTTTGAATGCTACCTTGATTTGAACAACTAATTTTGCTTGTCTATAAATTAATATGATAAATATCAAAATAGCAAAATAAAATAACATTAATAAAGATAAAATTAAATATACAGATCTTAGTTATAATAAAATAAAATATAAATAATTATCATTGAATACACATCTTTCATAAAATTGTAATTCCAAATTAACAAAATATTTTCAATTAAAATAGTTGAATTGAAGACCTAATTAGAAATATAAATACAGAACCTGAAACATGTAGTTACTCACAGAGTAGATATAACAGGTTGTATGGTAATATTTCTATAATTCTAATTCTATAATTAATGTAGCTAATTCTATCTATAAAGCCAATGATCAGACAACTATCTCTAGGATATATTTTGGAAAGTAACCAGTGAATTTCTTCATAAAAAAATCAATCCCTTAAAAGGAAAGATGAGACATTATTTAACCAATTTTACTTTAGTCTCTGAAACGGGAATTTTTTAGATAAATCAATCAGTAATAGTGTTCACAGCTCACGTTGAAAATTGAGCCTTCAAATCCATGAGTGTCCAGAATTATCTGTGTTTGAAAGTTAAAAAGACGAGTCATCTTTTATGGAGACACTGCTATATATAGAAAAGACATCTATAGAAATAGTGAGTAAAATACCTAGTTTACGTATTTTTGAAGGAATTATGTGATTTATGTACATTTCTAGTACTTCTGAAAACTATTTACATATATTCAAGACTAAAGTCAACCACCCAAAATGGCACACCTATCTCTATAGAATCAATTAAGCAAATTATGCAATTAAGTATCAACAATAATTAACAATAAAGTTTGTATGTACAATGTAAATAAAGATACCTTTCTCATAATATAATCTTATAATATACCTATCCCATAGCAAATCCTTAAATTCTAACCTGTACAAAGAAGAACAGAGTACAGTAATACCACAACATGAGTTCATGCCTTGCTTTATCTTAATTTACTTTTCTAGACAACCAAATTAGTTGAAAGTGAAAAAGTTCTTTAAAGTGTTAAAGGGATTGTCAAGAGGTTTTCTAAATTTTATGTGTATCGGGGACATTCGAGGACACTGATAGCATCAATTTACATCATTCCAATTTTCAATCAGACATCTATAAGTCAAAATATATTAAATAAACACCTCTTCAAAAGCCTAGTTTAATAGAGGGAAAAGGGAAATCTTTCAGATGACAACCAAACAATAGAGATATCTTTCATGATGTATTTTAAGTTGGATTTCATTACATTCTAAACTGTTGAGGGACGGCAAACTGTCTAGAACATCATTAAGTAGGAAACATGTTCGATATCATTATAATTTACCCACTTTATACTGTCTTTACCAACCCATTACAAATAAATGAAATATTTACAAAGAGGAATACATAGAATTTATAATGGAACTTTAGAAAATTCATTCTCATCTTTAGGGGGTCCAGGATATGGGGGTGGGGCTCCAGAGGGAATGTTGCCCTCGGGACCCTGAGGGGGAGGGTACTGTGATGCATACTGTCCAGGTTGAGGGTATTGGGCACCCTGAGAATATCCTTCAGGACCCCCAGAACTTCCATAGCCATGATATTGAGGATAACCCTGACCTTGCGGTGGATAACCCTGACCTTGAGGTGGATAACCTTGACCTTGTGGTGGATAACCTTGACCTTGTGGTGGATAGCTTTGACCTTGAGGTGGATAGCCTTGACCTTGAGGTGGATAGCCTTGACCTTGAGGTGGATAGCCTTGACCTTGAGGTGGATAGCCTTGTGGTGGATAGCCTTGACCTTGGGGTGGTTGGTATGTAGTTTGTGGTTGAGATTGAGGAAACGTGGTTGTCATAGGTACATCATTATTCTGCTGAAATATTTAGAAGTATCAAGTGTGAAGTTGACATACTGATCAAAATAAAAACACAGAACAGCAAATCTATAAAAATGAATTTCAACTCAGTTAAGTCTGCCATGTCTCATAATTTGGCTTGCAGTAAGTCTAAAATTAATTTGCTGAGATTAAGGCTGAGAAATATTTAGCACACATGACAAGAAGGCCACCAACAACTGTCAGAACTGTCAATCATATTACAAGTAATTTAAATCATGTTTTTATTCATGGAACAATTTAAACAGCCACGCCCTTCTGTTAACTCATAAAAACTGCGCTATAAATATTACTTACCTTAAAACTTCGTCCTCTCTTCTGACGTTTACGTCGACAAATATAAACAATAACAACAATAACAACGACAATAAATATAACAGCTACGATGATACCAATCAGACTGGAGGTGTGGTTCGGGCAGAAGTCACTGTTATCTCCACAGTTGTCGTATCCGTTACATTGTAGAGACTTGTCGATACAGTGTCCATTATCACATTTAAATTCACTCGTATTACACTGACCTACAACATCAAATAACATGAATTAATTAGAATTCATGTCTTACTAGTACCCATCATTTCACAATTCGGTGTGTATCACGATACATACATATCAGGATACAAAGGCTACGATACAAGACATATCGCGTTATATGGACCACGTTTTGATACATATCAGGATATATGAGATACGTATCAAGGTATTAGGGCTACGATACAACACATCTCATGATTAAGGATATTACTCGTAATTTTGAGTCAAAAGGCTTACTGCTTACACTCCCTTTCAGAGGGTCCACTTCTACATTATATTTAGTTTGGAAATATTATTTTGACATCCTTTCTTAGAGTCCACATAGCTAATAACACTACTCAGAGTGTATTTTTCCTGTATGGAAATGTCGTCTTGACATACTTTCAGAGAGTCCACATAGTTAATAACATTACTCAAGAGTGTGTTTTCCTGTATGGAAATGCTGTCTTGACATTCTTTCTGAGAGTCCACATAGCTTATAATGCTATAATTTAACCAATCTAAAAATGATAGATTACCTTGATGGTAGACATTAAAATATAAATCGAATCCATCATCATCATGTCGGCTATCAGAAACAAATCGTAGTGTCATGGCGTTTTTATTGGTATAGATTGGATAGCGAGGATGATTTTCTCCACATAGTTTACTTACACCTGCAATAAAATCATAGTTTAAACCATTCTACTTTATATCAAAATGCAATCTTAGAAAAAAACAAAAAAAACTTAGATTACAATTTCGTTTCGTTATCTTTTTTGTCGGTCTCCATTATAATCTAACAAGATTCATATTGGTACCAAGATCATGTACTGGTGATGCTACAAGCTATTTATAGTACCGCCATCATGCACCACTCTCCAGTCATACAGAATCACTTTTACAAGCGAGTATCTCTTTTTAAATTCTGCTTGACAACTTCTTGTTTTTGTAAAAGTTTGTAGAAACTGGCCAGTGATACTTACCACTAAGAAAATTTCCTGATGGTTTATCATTATCATAGATCTGAAGATAATCATTACATTTAAAAAATCTTTTGTCGATATCTACGTCCTTAAACATGACCATTAAAAAATGCTTGGACGGAGCAATGATTGTCCAGACACAATTCATATTATCTCGGTAATCTCCCCTTCTCACTAACTCGACACGACCAGCAGGTACTGGTGTATGTGCCAACTGTAACGTCTGCCCACATAACTCACTCATATAATCTACAATTTAAAACATAATCTACAATATAATATAATCTACAATATAATACAATCTACAATATAATATAATATACAATATAATATAATCTACAATTTAAAACATAATCTACAATATAATATAATCTACAATATAATCTACAATATAATCTATAATTTAACATAATCTACAATATAACATAATATACAATATAATATAATCTACAATTTAAAACATAATCTACAATATAACATAAGCTACAATATAATATAATCTACAATATAATATAATCTACAATATAGTATAATCTACAATATAACATAATATACAATATAATATAATCTACAATATAGTATAATCTACAATATAACATAAGCTACAATATAATATAATCTACAATATAATATAATCTACAATATAGTACAATCTACAATATAACATAATATACAATATAATATAATCTACAATTTAAAACATAATCTACAATATAACATAAGCTACAATATAATATAATCTACAATATAGTATAATCTACAATATAATATAATCTACAAGTTATAACATAATGGATAAAGATAATAAGTCAAAATCTCACTTTTATTATAATGAGGCAAATTTTTGTATATATACAATGCTTCATCAGGCCTTTTCATACACAGAAATTTTGAGAAATAATTTATGTGTTCCTTAACTTATCTAAAAGTTTTAACTCCACGATACACATACAAAATTTATAAAAACCTCTTTACAATCTCTTTAAGTAATATAAACTCGGTTTAAAAAATGGTAATTTATAAATGCTTTGTAATAAATAAATAAATAAAATTCTAAAAAATTCATTCAATATAAATAAGAAAATATTATCAGTAACCTGCCCTTGGAATGAATTTGTTTTGGACTTTTGGACAAATTCAGAAATAGGAAATGGCAAGGTCTACCTTGAATTTTTTTTCCGTTGATTGCAAAGCTAAATTTCATTAGTTCATCTCATGCTGCCATGTGCTTTGGATAATCAATCTTCATCAGGACAAATAGTTTTAGGGGTGTATTTGCCAATGAGGAACACAGTAATAAAACTCATTAATACTAGGATGTAACACTCCCGTTACAAACTTACATTTTGGTAATGATCTTTTAGTGAAAACTTGTTGTATTGCTAGTAGAAAGAAATACACAAAACTCAAACTTTTCCAAATCTCCATTTTTAAAATTATCTTCTCTTTACTAAAATAAATAACATTAAATTTGAGAGAAAAACAAATTATCAAATATTTCTCCTCAAATAATGCACTGAGACCTGTCTTTCAGAGTATCTTATAATAAGAATTTTGCAATAAGATGGATTAAACAATTAAAACCTGACCTGGGTGTGCTACTTTAATCATTTGTCACTGAATCATAACAGTTTTACATAGTTTATCCTGTTTAACAACCCAAGACATATAGGCCTAGTTTAACTAATCTTATATAAATTTGATGTAGGATGTTCATTATTTAGGAAAAGTAAATTTTAATAATCTTATCGTACATGAGTCAATATCATAAATTCCTTAGTCATAAACAATATAGATAGACCTATAAATAAGACAATTATTATGGATAGATAGGCCCTACATCTATAATACTGGCATTTTTCATACCGGTAGTAATAATTCTATTCAATAAATATTCATTCTCAATAATTGTTTTATTTATCTATAACTTGTACTTCTAATGCCTCCAAGAGTTAATATAGATATAAGGAAGGGTTAGTTAATAACAACGTGAAATTGCAAGTGAGTTGGTCGTAGAACAGGGTTGTCTTATACAGCCTCACAGCGAAATACCCGTTTTCAAGACTAAGACCAACGTTAATATTTCGTCATCTAGAATGAAACCGACACGAATTGGAATATAAATTGTTAAAATCTTACCAAATCTCTAAAATATAACTATTCTATCAAGATAGCTGAGAAAATAAACAAGTATTTCGACATACCGTACCTTAATTATTTATTTATGGTTTCAGGGGAGGTAACTCGATAACTCGCTTAGAAGGGTTTGACTAATCAGGTAATGGACCGAAGACAACCGAAACAAACTGTAATAGTTAAAACTGAACTGGCGCTCTCGGCCTACTTTCCCATGGGCGATATCCGGGAAGGGCCAATTGTGAAGGGAATAAATGGGAAAAGATATACATACATATGCATATCCCCTTCAGATTTTTTACCTGACCTTCGATCTGTATTTAGCACTAAGGGCTTCTAGATCACGTCGGTACCTTATGGGTACGAGCGCTTTCGTGAAAAATAGGGGAAAGATGGGTATGACTCGGGTTGTATTGGTTGATTTCATTTACTGTATTGTGGAGTGTTAGAATTTTACGTTGTCAAACTTCCAAGTCCTTTTCGGGTTAGATTTAAATTGGTTTAAAGTTCCAGATAATATGACATATTCGGGCAGGGAATTCCAGTTGGAGTCTGGAGTTTCACTTTTCATGTACCTAGGCTATTGAAATTAAAGACCTCTGGATAATTGGACATTGAAATAGAGTACACTAATGCTGCTGTCTTCGCAAAATATATCTCATTG